ACCCTTGCAGAAGACTCTGCTGTCATCATGGCTCCTGCTGGCTGCCAATGCCTCATTAGACTAAGAGACATCACAAGCGTAGTAATCCCAGAGCCCTAGCCAAAAGGAAAGGACAAAGTCGGCATCAGTGTTTTCTGGACAGATGATTGAATAAGCAAACATTTTAAAAAATTTTATTATTTTTATGTGTATGCGTGTATTGCCTGCGTGTAGGTAAGTACACCGTGTTGTGCAATGCCCATGGAGGTCAGAAGAGGCTGTCAAATCTCCTGGGACTGGAGTTACGGACAGTTGTTAGCTGCCATGTGGGTGCTGGAATTCAAACCCGGGTCTTCTGCAAGAACAACCAGTATTCTTAACCGCTGAGCCATCTCTCCATCCCCAAAAAAGTTTTTAAAAAATATTTTAATTTTATATGTATGAGTGTATTACCCACATGTATATAAGTGTACCCATGTCATGCAACGGCCAATGAAGTCAGAAGAGAGCATTGAATCCCCTGGAACTGGAGTTAGTTGTTAGCTGCCATGTGGGTGCTGGGATTCGAACCTGGGTCTTCTGCAAGAACAGCCAATGTTCTTAACCTGTGAGCCATCTCTCCAGCCCCTGTAAAAGGTTTTTAAATTTTTATTTTATGTGTATGAATACTTTCCCTGCATGCATGCAAGTGCACCACATGTGAGCCTGTGGAGGCCAGAAAAGGCTGTCATATCCCCTGAAATGGATGATTGTTAGCTGCTACGTAGGTGTTGGGAACTGACAAAAGCAGCCAGTGCTCTTAACTGCTGGGTTCTCTCCAGCCTTCCTCCCCTCACTTGTTTTGTTTGTTGGGTTTTTTTTTTTTTTGAGAATTAAAAGTGTGTGGTGAAATTAAAGGTGTGTGCAATAAAAAGTTCAGACGGAATATATATCAAAGTATTAACAAGGGACTTGCTACAAGCCTGATGACCTGGGTTCAGTTCCTAGGACTCACATAATGTAAGGAGAAAAACCACTCCTACAAGTTGTCCTCTGACTTCCAAACACATGCTGTGGCAAGCATGTCTCTGTACTCCCAACAAACAAAATAATATAAATTAAAATTAAATATTAATACACATCTCTGGACAGTGTGGCATTATGAATTTGTTTGTAGACCTGTATACCAGGCTGGCCTTGATCTCACAGAGAAACCCCTGCCTCTGCTTCTTGAATGCTGGGATTAAAGGTGTGGCCATTACTCCCAGCATTAATTTTTGACTGGCCTCAAACTTGAGCTCCTCCTGCCTCAGTCTCCCTAGCAGGGATTACAGATGTGCACCACTATGCCTGTCTCTGTTCTCTTTTGCTGGTTTCTTTGTACTTCCTGAATTTTCCTTGATTGAAAAAATAATCAAGGGCTGAGAGATGTCTCAGAGTTTAAGAACACTTACTGCTCTTCCACATACTGGCTAATAACTGTACAAAACTTCAGTTTCAGAAGATATGATGCTCTCTTTTGGCCTCTGCAGGCACTGCACTGCATGCATGTGGAGCACTTAGATATATGCAGGCAAAACACTCACACATAAATAAAAAAAAAGAATCAAATCATAATCAGTAAAACAACGTGTATTGTATCTGTCTGTCTCTAACACACACACACACACACACACACACACACACACACACACAACCCAAAGGCAAACAAACAAGCCTCCACCTATGGTTAGAAAAGCCAGAAAAATGGTTGGTCATCTTTGAAGAGGTTATTAAGAGGCTGCATAATTCTACACCTTGATTTTTGTGTGTGCATATAACTAAATTTTTCTGTGGATTTAAAATTTGGGGCATTTTACTGTATGTAAAGTATATTCATTTAAGGGGCTGGGGAGATGGCTCAGGGGTTAAAAGCATGGACTGCTCTTGCAGAGGACCTGGGTTTGATTCCCAGCACCCACGTGGTGGCTAACCACCATCCATAACTCCATAACTCCATGGGCATTGCATGACACGGGTGCACTTACACACAAGCAGGCACTCACACACACATAAAATAAAAAGTAAATATTTTTAAAAGTATATTCATTTAGCCGGGCATGGTAGTGCACGCCTTTAATCCCAGCACTCAGGAGGCCCAGGCAGGTGGATCTCTGAGTTCAAGGCCAGCCTGGTCTAAATAGTGAGGTCCAGGTTAGCTGTGGCTACAGGGAGACCCTAAATAAAAGTACATTCATTTAAAAGACATCCACTAGTAGCATAGCTCAGTGGTAGAGTGCTTGCCTAGCACATCCAAAGTCTTGGGTTTAATTCTGGCACAAAGAAATGGAAAAAAAAAAAAGTTACAGGCCTGAAGAGAAGGTTCAGTGGTTAAGAGTGCTTGCTGCTCTGTCAGAGGACCAGAGTTTGGATCCCAGTGCCCATATCAAGTGGCTCACAACCCACCTGTAACTCCAACTCCATGTGATCTGATGCCCTCTTCTAGTCTCCTTGGGCACCTGCACACAGATGTGTGCATATAAACACAAACAAATTAGAAACAAAACAACCCCACAAGACAGAAGGAAAAGAGGAAACAGGTGACATTACAAAACAATTTTGAGGTGAAAAAGAAGAACCCTGTGGTAAGCACTGTTTTTCTGAGGAAACGTGATAATAGGCTTGGTTAGCACTGGGAGGACTCAGGTGAGCTGTCCTGTAGCAGAAAGGCATGGGAAGTCACCCAGGGCTGGATTCAAGGAATGAGTGCCAACTCTCAGAGCTCCTCAGTTTGCTCTGGTGAATGCTGTTACTAGGATTTTGCTGCTTAAGGAGCACGAGTGGGGAAGGTCAATGGTTATTCACTTGAGGAATTTTGAGTCAACTGGCTTGTGATGTAGAGAACAAAGCCAAGAGAGTAGGGGCACAGAGATGAGTGTGAGGAAAGAAGGGTTTGGGGGCAGAGACGGAGTTTCAGAGAAAGACTGGTCAGGATTGGCATGAGGTCTTGAGAGTGAAGGAGTTCCAAGGGCAGCACAACATGAAGGACGAGAAAGAGAGATGCTAGTGTTTATAAGTGTCATTAACCCAATGCCAGGCAACTCACACTGGTTCATTCAAACAGCACCTTCAGCTTTGAAAGGAAGGATGGACTACTGATAATATTTATAGAAGAAACAAGTTCTGAGGTCAGTAGCTTGCCCTAGACCATACTGAGCAAGCAGCAGACCACTTTCAAATCATACAAATTAGAAACAGCAGGATTTTAGGGAATGCATGTATGTAGACACTGGAGTCATCTAGTACTGGTGGAGGTGAAAGTATGAGTTGTCCCCATCTGGAGAATGGCTGGAAGTCATCAGATGGGCACAACACAGTCTGAGTGGATGGCACATGCTTCAGGACCACACATCAGTGACAGATTTAAAAAAAAAAAAAAAATCGATCCTGCTTCCTGGTGAGAAGTCATAGGAAAGTGAGTCATCTCTATTTACAGGCTTTGTGTTTGGTTTTTGAGTCTATGCAGTGCATGCAGGGTGGATTTGAACTCTGAGTCTGCCTCTACCTCCCAAGAGTTGATACTACAGGCATGAATCACCATGCCCAGCTTTCTACCTGCAGGTGTTATCTTCAAGGAAAACCAAGCTTCAATTTAAGAAGAAACCTGGGAGTTTTGGGGTGTCATTCTAAGTCATTCAAGGGGGACATATAAGAGGTTCTAGGGCTGAGGGTCAGCGAGTGTGGAAGCTGAGATCATAGGTGTGAGGAAAGGGCTCTGAGTGCTTCAGGCTTCACCAGGGGTAAAAACCCACAAAAGGGCCAGTGACATGACTCATGTCAACACTGAGGAACTGAGCTCAACCCCCAGGATCCACATGGTGGAAGGAAAAAAACTGACTCTCAGTTGTCCTTTAACTTGTATACACATGTACTTCCTCTCTCAAGATAGATTAAAATGTAATAAAAATATAAAAAGCACACAGGAGTTACTAAGGTAATGACAAGATATGCCAGGACGCCCAGGCACTATCTGCACGCTTCATCTCTACCCTTTATCCACATCTAGAAGGGGTTTTGTTGCAATGAAAATAGAAGCAAAAATCCCCAAGAAAAAGAGAACTCCAACAGCATAGATCAGAAGTCACTGTTCTCTGACTAGTCCTTTCCAAGGGCATAGTTCCACTCTACCAGGAGAAATGAGTTACCATTCCAAGACAATGCAACTTCAAGACACACTGGGAGAAGGGGAGCGAACACTTGATGGCTACTGTGTCAGGTGTTTCATACCCACTTACAGGATTTACTCTCCAAACTTATCCTAAGGCAAGATGGTTGTGAGCTTCACTTATAGTTGGGAAAACTAAAGCTGCCTTAAGTTACAAAGCTGACAATGCAGCTGAAACCCAATCCTCATCAGCTGCACTTCCCACTACACCAAGCTATGTTACTTTCTCACAAGGACACAGCATCTGTGTAAGGTCTATTTGAACTCATTTCTTTTTTAAAATATTATTTTTATTTTATGTGTATTGCTTGCGTGTAGGTAAGTGCACTCATGTCATGCAATGCCTGCGGAGGACAGAAGAGGCTGTTGGGTTGGATCCCCTGGAACTGGACAGTTGTTAGCTGCCATGTGGGTGCTGGGATTTGAACCCGGGTCTTCTCCAAGAACAACCAGTGTTCTTAACCGCTGAGCCATCTCTCCAGCCCCATTTGAACTCATTTCACTGATTCTCTCCCCATTGCCTTTCACCATTTCCTTCACAGAGGAAAATATGTCATAGCTCTTCTAGATAGAAAGACCCACAGCTGGTTGTAAACGTTTATGTTATAAAACTTTTAATGTTAACCTACAATACAATGTAAACTTTTATGAAAAAATTTGAAGTACACTAGATTTCTTCAGGAAATGATCACATAACTTCAGGTGCAGTACAAGCTGGGGTACTGCATCTTTTGTGGATGGATTTTCCATTGCTGTGTTCCTCACGCACAAAAAAGAAAACCCCCCAAAACCCCAAAACAAACAAAAACCCCAAGTGGTTTTGAGAAGCGCCTTTTTCGAGCACCAGGTGAACTCCCTGGCTTTGCCTCCCGGGGCTAGCACTCCGTCTCAGTCATTTTTGTTGGCCTTGGCACCATTAGCAATTTTCATAATAACTGCTCAGTTGAAGATTCTAGGGTTTTATTTAAAGAGATAGGCATTCTCCTGCCACCTCCTCTCTGAATCTCATGGTGGAGCAAACAAGGAGGAAAAGTATTTGCTGCAGACAACTCTGCACAAGTGGAAGAAAAGATGAAAGGCCTCACCGAGTCTCCAAAACTTCAACTGAACTCAAGTATCTGTGCTCGATCATTTCCCATGGTCATTCAGCTGAATCTACATGTTCAGTTTGGGAATATGGAACAGAGCTTCAAACAAGTTCTTTTGCTTATCATGAAGGACTTGTCCTTCAAAAACAACTGTTGGATTATTTCTAGGGGCAATTTAAACAAAAGCAAATGCTTACAGATCACAGATTCTGTTTTTTCCCTGGCAGGTTCATCAAGCTCACAGAGGGCAGTATTGGCATTAAGTGACAAAATGTGCAGCCCATGGTCTACTTAAAGCAGAACTGTTTCAAAGGGGCAGGAGAGCTCAGTGAAGTGGCACACACCTAGAGGCAGAGACAGGAAAGTCAGTTCAAGGCCAGCCTTGGCTATATAACAAGTTTGAGGCCAGCTTGGGACATGAGAACCTATCTCAAAAAACTGGGAGAAATACCAAGGGGAGGGGACTGAAGCCTCCAGTAAATGGATAAGCTGCCGGAAGAGTTGTATTAACAGAGGGGCCTTGTTTTAATATTCTGGCATCTAATACCCTTTGCTCAGTTATAAAAGGCAAGAGGCATAAAAAGTACACATTACAGAATGAGATTAAGGGGGAGAAAAACAAAAAAATCACAACCAACCCAAGCAGGTGTGGGCAAGATACTTCCACACGTATTCTACCTAATGAAGGTCCTCAGCACCCTCCTGTGTTCTAGGACAATGGAAACTGAAAACTGGGAGGGAGGCTAAGTGGAAAAATGCCTCTCCATGGTTGTGAGAGGCAGACTCCACTTGCAGTTCACCTATGCTCCTTCACTGCCAACAATTCTGACATGCAGGTGTGTGTTCCCACCCACCTTGGCAGAAAGCCAGTGGGGCACCGCTAGGCAGTCAGGAGCAGAACTAACATTGCCTAGAAGTGGTGTTCTAGACTGCTGTGCTAAGGCCACTTGGAAACTCTCAGGCTTCCCAAATGACTTCCACAAACCATCTCCCTCTATCCTATCATGCTTGCTCCAAAAAAGGAGAGTGGGGAGCACAGCAGTATATTTCTATTACAGCAGACAGCAGTTTTAGTCAAGCACGAATGGCTTTTAGAGATGACCAATCTAACAAGCTCTGCTTTCTTGCTTTCTCTTGCCTGGAATACCCTGCCCTCATAATATACCACAACTTAAAGTAACCTCAGAGGGCTGCAGTGTTTCAAGCCTGCACCAGCCTAACTAACAAGCACTTTAGAACACTTGTCAGTGCACACTGGCATGTGTGTTAATACATGGCCTGACCATGTATCCATCACCATCAGCTCAACTACACGAGACATTCACAGCATTCAGAGTTTAAAAACAACAAAGAAAAACAGCTCCTGTTACTTTAACATGGCAAGAGGGAGGTTAAAAACTATCTCTGGTAAGTGGCTTCATCAGAAAGTGAAATGTGCCTTCCAACAACTTACACAGGCTGAGAGTTCTGTTTCTCTTCAAAACTTCTAGTTCTATGTAGACCAGGCTGACCTCAAACTCACACTGATTTCCCCCTGCCTCTGCCTCCCAAGTGCTGGGACAGACAGGAAGGGAGAGTGCTTCTGTCAGCACCACAGTGGGCCCCCTAGTCCTCTGGAAAGGCACCAGGCTTCACAATTCAGGAAAGCTGGGAGGAGCAGCAGGTACACACAGAGGAATGAAGAGCTGCTATTCTCTGGGTCAGACCTTCACTGCTTCCTGGCACAGATTCCAAGGAAAAATTGACGTTGTGTGTAAAGATGAGTGCACATCCCAAACACAGGTGTAACCAATATATACAGCCTTTGTGGGCCACAGATCCAGATTTCCTCTCACTGCTCCAAATGGGATACATAAGTGGCAAGAGAGGACAGCAAGAATTGGACCAAAACCAATGACCTCACTGGGAACATGAGAGGAGCAATTGGCAGAAATAAGCACAAACTAGCCCGGGGCACCTTTATTACACTATTGTAGGCCAAGGAGCCCAGGGCATTGGCTCTTTATCAAATAAAGGAAAAAAATACACCTACGTCAGCCTCATTCCTTTGGTCATTATCATTACAAAGCAACAGAAACACTGAAGTTATTCATAAACTGTGGGCAGTCAAGGAACATCTCTGTTCTGTGCTCTCTTTCCCCTCTTCCTCCAGAGGTGGGAGAAGCAAGTCTTCTGGAGATGCTGCTGTAGCTGGTTGATGGAAGTTTTCATTTTTCTTTTTTATAAAAGCAAGAATGAATGAGAGATAGTGGGAATGTCTCCTTTCCCACTTGGGACAACGGACGGCTGGAGGTGAAGAGTCCACTTGTTGGAAGGTGTATGGTGAGGCTGTGGGAAGGGTGAGCTTGCCGAGCAGGTATGTTCATCAATAACCTTGTGCACGCACACAGGTTGTGATTCTCGCAGGCAGCATGGTTTCTGATCCTTCCTTAGGATGCAGCAGTCTTTTAAAAAAAATATTGTATTATAATAATAATATGAATTTATCTCTTTTGTTTTCTGTTTCTGTTTTTTCCATTTCTTATAGGGATTGGGTGGGAGGAGGGAGGAAGAAAAAGTGTCATTCGTCAGTTAGGTCCTGAACAAAGAGAACTTCTGTGTGGCTGAGTCCCGCCTCCTGCAGTGTAGGGGGGTTGGGCCATTTCTCTGAGGGGACACAGGGCAGTACCCGTCTTGGAAAATTGGCTTCAATCTGAAACTTCTCAGGGCTTTCCTTCAAGGAGAATAAGAAGTCATGGATTACCTGCAGATGTCACACAGAAAAAGAATGGCAGTGAGAAGACAGGCAGACCACTGTGAAGTCAGGGGTCCTCACCTCTCCCCAGGGTGACTGGGGAGAAAGAAGGCACAAAACAATCAATTCTACTTCAGCTGTTTTCGCGCCCTGGAATAACAGTGTGGCAGCCTTTTCCAAGAGCCCATTGCTAGTCCTTCTTGGGATATTTTTTTCTTTGGAAATCTCTCTCAGGTAAAGCTAAAGAATTTTCACTTAGAAATAATCACAAAGTTGCAGAAAAGCTAGAAGTATAGCTAGTACATACAGTATTTTCCCCTTGAGCTAGATGTAAGTTAAGTGGGCTGCTAATCTGGTGTCCTATTACTTTTGTTAATACTTTATCAACCTCAAAATCAGAAAGCTTAACTGATACATTATATACAATAATCCCTCAATACCATGGGGGTTGGTCCAAGGATACTCTCCTCATGCTAAAATCCAACGTTCAGGTCCCTTACATTAGTGTGGTATTTGACATAATTCATACATTCCTGCTGTACCCTTTAAATTACTTATACCTAATGGAATGGAAATGCTATATAAATTACTACTGTACTGTACTGTACTGTACTCTTGTTTTTTGAGGCAAGGTCTCACTATGTAGCCCTGTCTGGCCTAGAACTCACAAATATCTCCCTGCCTCTGCCACCCAAATACTGGAATTAAAGACATGTACCACCACACCCAGTCTCCTCTAATATTTTTGATCTATAATTGGTTATATACACAAATCTAGAACTCATGGACATAAAGGGGGCAACTGTGTAATGTTATTTATTATTTGAGCCCCATTAAAGTTCTATCAGTTTTCTTTTTAGCAAAATGATCCAGTATAGAATTGTGTTACATGTATTTGTCACATCTCATATCTCTCCCCTTTTAGCCTAGAACAAACTCTCAGTTATTTGAACCTTTCAGAAATGAAGATGCCAGGAATGGAGAGATGGCTCAGCAGTTAAGAGCACTGACTACTTTTACAGAGGACCCAAGTTCAGTTCCCAGCACCCACATTGCCCACATGGTGGTTAACAACCATCCATAACTCCAGTTCCAGAAAATCCTACACTCTCTTCTGACTTCCACAGACACTGCATGACACGGGTGCACTTACATACACGCAGCCTATCTCATACACAGAAAATAATAAAATACACTCATATACACATATACTCATACACATGAAATAATAAAAATAATAAAATTAAAAAAAAAATGAAGGTACCCTCTACTCTGCAGCCTGTCTGGGTGGGATATTTTCAATCTGCCCCATTCCCTATGGTGCTCACTTTGATTATCTGATTCAGGTGATGACTAGCTGTCCTTGAACTCAAGAGATCTGCCTGTCTCTGCCTCCCAAGTGCTGGGATTAAAGGCGTGCAGCACCACGCCCAGCTAAAAAGTCTAACTTTTACAATCACTATCTCAAAGGAATAACACACTGGACAGAATACAAGAATGGTTTTTGCTATTTCAATACCCAGGAAGAAGTCACATATTAAATGGTGGTATTTTGTAGGGAAGTACTCTGAAATTACGACAGTTACTTGATTCCTCAAATTTTAAATTTACTTACATTAATGCAGATTCCTAACTTTCTGTTTTATTCAATAGGCTATACTAACATAATCAACAGTTAGGTTAATTTTCACTCTTGAGATGGACTCAAGATTGAACGGCTGGGTTCCATGTCTTTCTCACATGTGCCCATCATTCTCTGAACAATGACCTGATTTTTGTACAAGTTGAGGTTTTCTAGGCAACTTTTGTTTTATTTTCCCTGGCCCAGCTATGCATGAGCCATTTTTCTGAGGACAGCAATTTTAAAATTTATTTTATTTACTTATTTATTTACTTACTTTTGAGACAGGATCTCCCCGTAGCCCCAATTTGCCTGGAACTCGCTATGTAGACCAGCCTACCCTCAATCTCATAGAGATCTACCTGCCTCTGCCTCCTGAGCACTTGGACTAAAGGTGTGTACCACCATGCCTGGCCCTTTAAAATTTTGTGATGGGCCTTAAACACTAGGACTTAAGGTGTGGGCTACCACACTTGGCCTTTTAATCTTTTTTAAATTTTATTTTTATGTGCATGAATATTTTGCCTGTATATCTGTAAGTGCACCTGTGTTGTGCAGTTCCTGAGGACAAAAGAAGGCATCATCAGAAGGACAGAAGAGGGTGTTAGACCCCTGGAAACTGGAGTTATGGATGGTTGTTAGTCACCATGGGAATGCTGGGATTCAAACCTGGGTCCTAAGAGCAGCCAGTGCTCGCCAAGTCCCAGTGTTAATTTTTATGTCTTACGTTTGTTTTGGTTTTTTAACACCGATTTTGTGTGTGGTGGGGGCCATGCTTGCCCATAGCACACATGTGGAGGTCAAAGGACAACTCTCAGAGACAGTTCTCTCCTACCATATGGGTTCTAAAAACTGAACTCAAGTCATGATGTTTGATGGCAAGTAATTTCCCCTTGAGCAACTTCACTGGTCCTCATTTATTTAAAAAAAAAAACTTTTGTTTGTTGAGACAGGGTCTTCCTACAACCCCAGCTGGCCTGGAACTCGATATATAGACCAGACTGGCCTCAGATCAATCTCACTGAGATCCACCTGCCTCTGCCTCTTGAGTGCTGGGATTAAAGGCATGCACCACTATGCCTGACCCCTTTTGTGAAAGAGTTCATGTAGTCTAGGCTGGCCTTAAACACCTGATCCTTCTATTTCTACTTTCAAGTGTGGAGACTATGGGCATTTACTACTACTCCAGGTATGGTTTCTTCCTTCAGTGCTGGAAAAGGAGTCCAGGGCCTGAAACACATGCTAAGTGGGTGCTCTATTACTGAGCTACATCCCCAGCCCTGCCTGGTTCTTCCTTTTTTTTTTTTTTAAGATTTTGAATTATTATTTTTTTAAATAAATAATTTATTGAGAATTTCCTGCCTGGTTCTTAATAGATGGTGGTATTGAAAAGCCAAGATGTGGCTGGGTGTGGTGGTGCACACGCAGAGGCAGGCAGATCTCTGTGAGTTGAAGGCCAGCCTGGTCTACATAGCGAGTTCCAGGCCAGCTGGGGCTACAAGGAGACCATTTCAAAAGGATTAAAAAAAAAAAGAAAAGCCAAAAAGCAGGACATGGTGGCACACACCTTTGATCCCAGCACTTGGGAGGCAGAGGCAGGCAGATCTCTGTGAATTCAAGGCCAGCCTGGTCTACATAGTGAGTTCCAGGACAGCTAGGGCTACAGGGAGACCCTGTCTCAAAAAGACCAAAAAAAGCTAAGATCTGGCTGTTAGGAATGTTAGTTCTGACTGAGGAGTTGCTGCTTCTGGACACAGGCATACCCTTCAGGCCCTCTCCTTCATTTCTCTCTCTCTCTCTCTCTCTCTCTCTCTCTCTCTCTCTCTCATTCCAGGACCCGCTGGGGCTACCCTTCCTGTAGATCTGCCTGCCTCTGCCTCCTGAGTGCTGGTACTACAGGTGTGCGCCACCATACCTGGCTTGGTTTATTCTTTATTCTTACCACTATCAAGAGTTGACCATCACTGCAAATGTGTCACTCTTTGAGATTATCCATGATGGGATGGCACAAGTTTTTCAAGAACACTACATTATCTGGTTATATGTTACTCTCTCAGGGAATGTTTTATTCGAGGCCAGCATGGAATTTAACTGCATGTCTCCTTTATATACTTCTTTTTCCTCTTCAAGTCCCATTTCCAAATGAACATTAAAAAAAATATTTTACTTATTATTTTTGTTATTTTATTTTGTATGTAAGGATGTATATTACCTGCATGTCTGTAAGTGCACCTGTGTTGTATAGTGCCTGCAGAGGACAGAAGAGGGCATTGGGTCCCTTGAAACTGGAGCCACAGGTGGTTGTAAACCACCATGTGGGTGCTGGGAACTGAACCCAGGTCCTTTCTGCAAGAGCTCTTAACCACTAAGCCATCTCTCCAGTCCCAAAAGTGGATTTCTTCAAAAATTTTTTTATTTATGGAGCTAGAGAGGTGGCCCTTATTGTTCTTGCAGAGGACCAGAGGATGACTCATAACTGCTTATAGTAGGTCTACACCCTCTTCTGGCCTGCTACAGTATGTGTGCATAAAGACACAGACATACACATAAATAAAAGTGTCTAAAGTAAATAAAAAGGGCTTGGAGAGATAGCTTAGCAGTTAGAGCACTTGATGCTCTTATAGAAGACCCAGGTACCTACATGGAGGCTCACAACTGCCTGTAACTTCAGTCAGGGGATCCAATGCCCTCTTCCGGCCTCCAGTCAATGCACAAATGTGGTGGATTTATACATAAGCAGACAAAACACTCATACACATAAAATTTTAAAAAATAAAAATTGTCCTTTTTTTTTGTATTTAGTGTGTGTGGGTGGGTGAAAAAATTTCTGCTGCTGCACTGTGCACTCCAAGTTATTTGGTCTACAAGCTTCCAGGTGATTCTCCTGAATTTTGTTTTTATTTTTTCTTTTTTTAGTTTTTATTTTTAAGTTATGTGTGTGTACACACTTGCACAGGAACCTGGTGCAACGGCTAGAGGTGTCAGATCTCCTGGAGCTGGAATTACAGGTGGTTGTAAGTCACCTGATATGGATCCTGGGAACCAAATTCTGGTTCTCCAAAAAAGCTATACTCTCTTAATTGCTGATTCATCTCTTCAGTCCCCACCTCTGGCTTTTTTTTTTCCCCTTTGGTCTTTTTGAGACAGGATCTCCCATAGCCCCAGCTGGCCTAGAAGTTACTATGTAGACCAGGCTGGCCTCAGGCCCACAGAGATCCACCTGCCTCTGCCTCTGCTGGGATTAAAGGTGTGTGCCACCACACCCGGCTAGTCCCCACCTGTCTTTTTTAAAAAATTTATTTATTTGTCTGGAGTGGTGGTGCATGCCTTTGATCCCTGCACTTGGGAGGCAGAGGCAGGAAGATCTTTGTGAGTTCGAGGCCAGCCTGGTCTACATAGTGAGTTCCAGGACAGCTGGGGCTACAGGGATTTACTCTTTTCATTTTATGTGTATGAGTGTACTGCCTGCATGTATGTGAGTGCACCTGTGTCATTCAATGCTGCAGAGGTCAGAAGAGGGCTTCGGATTCCCCTGGAACTGGAGTTAAGGACAGTTCGTAGCCACCATGTGGGTGCTGGGAATTGAACCCGGGTCCTCTACAAGAGCAGTCAGTGCTCTTAACTACTGAGCCATCTCTCCAGCCCCTTATTTATCTTATTTTATGTGTTTCACTTGAGTATATGAGTACTAGATGTGTGCAGATGTCCTTGGGGGCCAGAAAAAGGGGGTGTTGGGCCTCCTGGAGCTAGTTATAAGCAGTTGTAAGCCACCATGTGGGTGCTAGGAACCCAACCTGGGTCCTCTGCAAGAACAACACATAGTCTTAGCTGCTGAGCTCTCCAGCCCCATAGGCTTATTCGTTTACTGATTTAATTTTATTATTTTTTATTTTATTCATTTTAACTTATTTTAAGTATTTATTTATTTATTTATTTATTTATTGGTATGAGTGTGCCTGCTTGCCCATATGTATGTGCACCCCATGTCTGCCTGGTACCCAAAGAGGCCAGAAAAGGGCATCAGATTCCTTGAAACTGGAGTTACAGGCAGTTGTGAGGTACACCTGAAGTAGGTGCTTGTTTCAAGTGTTTGAAAATGAACTTTTCCAAGAGCAACAAGTGCTGTTAACTGCTGAGCCATTTCTCCGGACCCTATTTTTATTTTTTAAAATTATGTGTATGTATGTCTGTGTATGGGTTTGTACAAATGCATGTGGTACCTGCAGAGACCAGAAGAGGGTGTTGGATCCCCTGGAGCTGGAGTTGACAGGCAATTGTGAGCTGCCCAGTGTAGGTACTGGGAAATGAACTTGGGTTCTCCACAAAAGCATTATATGCTCTTGTTTTGTTTTTTGTTTTGTTTTCAGACAGGGTCTCCCTGTAGCACCAGGCTGGCCTTAAACTCACAGAGATCTGCCTGCCTCTGCCTCCTGAGTGCTGGGACTAAAGGTGTGCACTACCACACCCGAAAAGCAGTATATGCTCTTAACCACTGAACCATCTGTCCAGCCCCCTCCTAATCCCCAATTTTTTAAAAAAAATTATTATTCTGGCCGGGTATGGTGGCGCATGCCTTTAGTCCCAGCACTTGGGAGGCAAAGGCAGGTGGATCTTTGTAAGTTCAAGGCCAGCCTGGTCTACATAGTAAGTTCAGGTCAGCTGGGACTACAGGGAGACCCTGTCTCAAAGACAATAAAAAAAAAAATTATTATTCTGTATCCATGATGTGTATGGGTGGGCACTTGTGTGCCACAGTGCCATGTCAGAGGATATTTTAGGGAGTAGGTTTTTTTCTACCTTTACCTGAGATTGGCCTCAGGTTTTTGGGCTTAAATTACAAGCTATCTCATTGGCCCCATAGTTATGATTATTTTATTTTATTTGTTTATTATTTATTTTGGTCTTTTTGAGATAGGGTCTCCCTGTAGCCCCAGCTAGCCTGAAACTCAGAAATCTTCCTGCCCCTGTCTCCCGAATGCTGGGATTAAAGGCATGTACTATCATGCTCAGCTATTTTATTTTTTAATGATGAATAACTTCTAGAGATGGGCAGATAATTCAGGTGATAATAATGACCCGAGTCTGCACCCCAGAACACCTGTAAAAAGCTAGATGTGAGCCAGGTATGTCTCAAAAAAGACAAAACAACAACAACAACAAAAAAAGATGTGGTAGCATTTGTAATCCCAGTGCTGAGGAGGCTGAGACAAGAGGATCCCCGGTGCTGGATAGCCAGTCAGTGTAGCCTAATCCATGTGACCCAGATCCCACTGTGAGACCCTGTCTCAAGAAATAATGTGGACAGCTCCTGAGGAACAATGCCTGAGATTGACCTCTGGTCTAACTAAAACACACACACACACACACACACACACACACACACACACACACACACACACAGTTTCTAAATCACTGGAGACACAGATTTCTCTACAGAGCAAGGGGTTTTGTGGGATTCTGAAGTCAGTGATAGATGGGAACATGGAAGTCTCCCAAACTCAAATATACAAGGCTCTTATGGGAATTTCTCATGTCTTTTTCTTAGCAGAACTCAAACATGATGAAAGAAAACTGTAAAAATTGCTTTGAGTTGACAATCAGAATTGAAGGAATCTTTAATAGCTCAATGCACCATTCTTGTAGCCACTGATATCACATCATGTCTTTCTTGATGTCAAACCTATGGTTTTCTTCTCTGTTCATCAGAGCAGCAGATATATTAACAAGCCTTTTACACCTGTAGCCCAGCTCTACCTGCTTAGGTGACTCTTACCGTTAGAGACTGTGAAAAATGGAATCGTCTCTCTACTCGAGAATCATTGGGTAACTTGAAAATGATCTTAACACTTTCAGGGTCATCAGGGGAAGGTTCAGGAGGCAGGCATTCCAACTTCCTTTCCTTTTCCTCCTGTAAGTTCTAGAGAAACAAAGGTGAGGCTAGGCTCAAAGTAGGGAAACAAGAAATAGCCATGTAGGTTAAGATCCACATGCAAAACAGACCAAAAATTAATAACTAATTACTGTAAGAAAACCCTCCTGGTGAGATAGCTCAGTGGGTAAATGAGCTTGCTGCCTGAAGATGCAGGCCTAAGGACCTGAGTTCTATCCCAGAAATAAAATTAAATAACAACAACCCCCCTAAAACAACCATTTTGACAAGAAACAACTCTACTACATCAGGTGCATTTCTAACTGTTTTAGTACTTAACTATTTGAGAGGAAAAAAATATCTGAAAGACACTGGCAAGTGGTAGCAGAGTGAAACAAGACCACAATAAAATGCAGTCAACTGACACGGGAACCGAGAACAAAAAGGTGAGAGGCTCCAGCCACAATCCCAATGCAACTTTTTCCTTTCACACATAAGCAAAAACCCAGATGACAAAGTCTCAGCAGTCTGAGAATTAGAGAGCAGAGGCAGTCTATCACCTGCCGCCTTCTCTCCTCTGCCAGCTTCTGCTGTTGCACTTCCTCCTCCTTTCGCCGTTTCCGTTCTCGTTCCTCTCGCTTCTTTCTTTCTTTCTCCTGGTCAGCCCTGAGAGAGGCCAAGTAGGCTTCATCCTGCTGCTGTCTTAGCACTTGGGTCTGATTCCTTTCTTCCCTGTGGATAGAGCAAAAGCATAAACCCCCAAACACCAATTTCACCAAGCTCTGTCCTTCCCTCTTTCCTGTCTCTCTAGGATAGAACCCAGGGCCTCCTGTACCCTAGGCAAGTATATTTCCTGACAACATGTCTCTCTTCCCCCATTCCCCTTGTCTTACACGTTGGCCTCTAATTTGAGAGCCTCCTGCCTAGCCTGTCAAGTGTGGAGATTAAAGACATGCCCCACTGAGCTGAGCTCCTGATTTCTTTTGTTCTTTTCTATATTTTTCTAAGAGTCTCATGTATCTACCCAGGCTAGTCTCGATCTCACTATGTAGCCAAGGATGACCTTGAACTTCTGACCCCTTTCCCAAGTGTTGGGATTACAAGTACATATCACCATGCCTAGTTTATATGGTGCTGGAGATAGAACCTAGGGCCTCAAGCATGCCAGGGAAGCACTCTACTAATTTGGCTACATTCCCTGTCCTGTTTTTTTTCCTATACTGAAGATTTGGGGCAGGGTAAAAATGTTGGCCCACTAAGGCATTTCTAAGCCAGAGCATGGCAGAATCTGAATGAGCCACTTTCCCCCCTCAGATTATTTTTGGAAAATAATTGGAAATGACAGCTTTATGTGGGATCTGGGGATAAAAATTAGGTCACCAGACTTTGCAGCAAGTGTCTTTACCCCCTGAGTCATCTCACCAGCCCTCTCTCTACCTTTTTTAAAAAAATATTTTATTTATTATATTTTATTTTACATGTATGTGTGTATTGCCTGCATGTAGGTCAGTGCACCGATGTCGTGCAATACCCGTGGAGGTCAGAAGAGGCTGTCAGGTCCCCTGGGACTGGAGTTACGGAGAGTTGTTAGCTGCCATGTGGGTACTGGGATTTGAACCTGGGTCTTCTGCAAGAAAAACCAGTGTTCTAAACTGCTGAGCCATCTCTCCAGCCCCCTCTACCTTATTTTTTAAAACAAGATCTCTAATGAACCTGAAGCTTGCTGATTACCTAGACTGACTGACCAGCGAGCCTCAGATATCCTCCTGTTGCTGCCTCCCTTCAGCACTTTATGGACCGAGCCATCTCCCCAGCACCTCTTAATGGCTGTTTATGCTTTAACCATGATTATGCAATGAAGCCCCATGAGATTCCAGAAGAACAAACATAATTTAGAGAACTTCTAGACAGTTAAAACCAGTGCTTCCCAGTATTCTAAGCTGTCTGGGCAAATTAATCAGAGGTTGTGAGAGTCTTGGTGTATGGTTTTAGAAATACAAGCAAAACAACGTAGGGGTTGCAACTGGCATCTAAAGTGAGTAGAATCTGATGCTATCTCCAGGTAGAGAAGGTCAGAACTGAATCGAAGACACATCTGGTACCAGAAGTTTATCTGTTCTGTGAGAGTATGGCAGGAGAAACTGACTTGAGTTTGGTTTCTATTTTTATCTTTAGAGTATGTAGATAGGGCCATCTATAAAATTAAAAGGAAACATTCAATAAAAACATACCAATAAAAGTGCCATAGAATTACGAGTTCTTTTAAATTTCTTCTTTGACTTTTCCATTTCAAATTTTCTGTAACTGTTGCACATAATTATGTGATGGGGGAGGAGTTATAACCAGTTCACCATTTTCACATTAAGTTCTTTCTATGATGTTCAGCTACTCTTCAGCACATAGAAAAGGCTTTAAAAACATTTTTTAAAATGGGTTTTATGGGACTGGAGAGACAGCTCAGCATTAAAAAAGTATTGGTTGCCCTTGTAGAGGACCTAGGTTCAATTCCCAGCACCCACATGGCAGCTAACAGTAATTTGCAACTCTAGTTCCAGGGGAATCCAATACCCTCGTCTGACCTCCGCAGGCATTTCTCGACATGAGTGCATTTACACACATGCAGGCAACATAGTCATACAAATATAATAAAAATAGTAAATAAAATATTAAAAAAAATTTTTAAAGCTGCACATAGTGGTACATGCCTTTAGTTTCAACACTTGGGAGGCAGGCGGATCTCTGTGAGTTCAAAGCCAGCTTGGTCTACTTAGTGAGTTCTAGGCCAGTGGAGGCTACAGGGAAACCCTGTCTCAAAAAGACTAAAAAAAAAAACAACTTTTTTTGTATATGAGTGTTTTGCCTGCATATAATAGCACCCACCTCATGCAATGCCCAAGGAAGCCAGAAGAAGGTGACAGATCCTCTGGAACTAGAGTTACAGTTATTAACTGTCATGTGAGTGCTGGTAACCCAACCCAAGTCTTTTGTAAGAGCAGCCAGTGCTCTTAACCTCTGAACCCTAGCAAAGGCTTTTAAAGTTGCCCAAGACAGAGAAAAATTTGTGTGAACATATCTTCTTTTCAGAAAAGAACTCCCTAATACCTTTCTAGGCGTTCTGACACCAGGTAAGTCTGGTTTGCATCCATGATAAATGTCAGCTGGTTAATGAGGTCATCAGGTTGAATGAGGCCTTCTAGCCGCCCCACCACAGTCATCCGCCGATCCTTCAGCATAATCATGGCCAGGAATGGATAGGTGTTCTCTCGTAAAGCCTGTGAGACTGACAGAAAGACCCAAGAGATCAAGGGCAGGACTTGAGTATGAAACACATCAACTGTCAAGACTTTCCATATTGAGAGACAGATGGCTTTAGTCCTGGTTGGGAAAAAGCCAGGTCTGGTGGTGCACATCTTCAATCCCAGCACTTGGGGGGCAGGCAGGCCGATCTCTGCGAGACTGAGGTCAGCCTGATCTGCATAGAGAATTCCAGACCAGATGAGGCTCCAAGGTCTTGTCTCAAAAGGACAAAACACAAAAAAACAACATCAAAAAACCAAGAAATTGAAACAATGATAATAGAAAGAAAAGGCTCTACAAAGAATCTAGTTATTTAAAGTATAATTTCTCCATATGTGAGCGGTCAAAGCTGGGAGACAAGACTGCATGCAATTCTTAGCTGGATGATTCTGGCCATGGTGTCCACAACATATATTCTGTCTTCCTCTCACCTAATCCTTTCCTTACCTAATTTTCCTATATCCCCTATATCCTTTTTTTTTTTGTCTTTTTGAGACAGGGTCTTCCTGTAGTCCCAGCTGACCTGGAACTCACTATGTAATCTAGGCTGGCGTTGAACTCACAGATCTGCCTGCCTCTGCCTCCCTAGTGCTGGGACTAAAGACATGCACCACCACACCCAGCTTCCCTATATCGTTTTTTCTACCCCTTAAAAGGCTAATTTTTCTGCTCCAAATAGGTAAGAAAGTTGGTCTGTAAATAAGCGAAAATTTACCACAATGAAGTTTCATGTGTTTCTCTTATATCATGAAAGAAATTTTAAAACCTTCTATAAAAAGTACCCTTTGTGCTAGCTATCTTCTAGTCCCACAGAATTTTTTCAGAACAGCAAAATATAGGCTGCTGGAACTTGCCAGATGTTTAAAAAACAATTAGGAGTAAAGATTTAAGATTCTACGATGGGGAGACTGGAAAGATGGCTCAGTGGTTAAGAGTACTGGCTGCTCTTGCAGAGGACCTGGGTTCGATTCCCAGCACCCACATGACAGCTAACAACCATCTGAAACTCCAGTTCCAAGGGACTATAATGCCCTCTTCAGACTTCCACAGGCATTGCATGACATGGGTGCACTTACACACATGCAGGCAATACACTCATACACATATAAAAATAAAGTATTTTTTAAAAAGATTCGAAGATGTGGGGGAGCACCTGCTGCATCTTTGGTTCTCAACCCAGGTGTGCTGCTTATATGCTATCATACATAGAGGCTGCTGGATAGGAGAGCCCCCAAACGACCACATTTTCTTTTCTCTCTCTCTCTCTTTTTCTTTTTTTTTTTGGTCTTTTTGAGACAGGGTCTCCCTGTAGCCCTAGCTGACCTGGAACTCACTAAGTAGACCAGGCTGGCCTTGAACTCAGAGAGATCTGCCTGCCTCTGCCTCCCAATTGCTGGGATTAAAGGCATGCGCCATCACCCCTGGCTAAAAGGACCACATTTTCTTCACTGGATCTCTTTGTATTTTCAGATGATGATTTCTAAAAACAACCATCTCTAAGTTATGATTAGAAGGAAGTGAACGTTCTGAATCTATTATCAGCACTCCAAGGACTCAAAAAACTCATTATTCCAGAAGCTCTGTCAAAACTGCTGCTAAGAGTCAGGCGTGGTGGCACACGCCTTTAATCCCAGCACTCTGGAGGCAGAAGCAGGAGGATCTCTGTGAGTTCAAGGCCAGCCTGGTCTACATAGTGAGTTCCAGGACAGCTGGGGCTACAGGGAGACCCTGTCTCAAAAAGGCCAAAAAAAAAAAAAAAAAAAAAAAAAAAAAAAGATTAAAGGCAAGTTGTTGGACAGGACTAATTTAAAAATCCAACAGTCTAGCAGACCTGATCTTGCTCTGAAACTTGCTAGTTGTATCTTCTTAGACCTGTATTAGTCTTAAACTGACAGACTGTTTCCCAAATCACAAAGTATAAACAATACAACCTTTATTTCTCAGGACTGTGGACCAAATTTAATGGCATACAAACTACAACTAGCCAGGTGTGGTGGTGCACGCCTTTAATCCCAGCACTTGGGAGGCAGAGGCAGGCAGATCTCTGTGAGTTCAAGGCCAGCCTGGTCTACATAATGAGTTCCAGGACAGCTGAGTCTACAGAGAGACCCTGTCTCAGAAAGACCAAAAACAAAACAAAAAACCCACTACAATAAGTATAATTTCTACCACAGAACAAGTCACCTAAGAAATGGCATAGCATGTCTTTTCAGACTTTTCCAAAGACATTCTAAAACTCTGAATGAGGCAAAAGAAACACAACTTACCCCTGTACCCCTCAGGTTTGTTTGTAGAACAGGCCCAGAAGAGCATCCTGCTGTTTATTAGTGAAATAACTTCAGGTGCACAGAGTGTATTGCTGTGGAATGGGATGGAAACAACATAAGAACAATTTGTCTACTATAAACTGTTAGCAAAAAGTCAGAAAAGAAAGAAAATGACTCATTCACTTACCGACAGAACTCATCAGAGTCCTGGTGGTCATCTCCATGAAGATAAACCAAAAGAAAGCGAAGCTCCCGCTTGGCATCATTAAGTGCCTGCGCGAGACAGAAGATCACTACTTACTGTTAACACCCTGAACTAATACTTAGCTAAGGTCCAGATGGGTAGAACTATGTATTAATGAACAACAGCAGCAGCGACAACAGCAACAAGGAAAAAAACCAAACGAAACTAAACCAAAACAAAACAGTAAGAAACCATATATTCCCTGGGCTTCTGCCTTTCCACCACTGCCATTTTTCTCCCTATAAGAAATCCAAGCTAATAAGCTTTAATGGAAAAGGTTTTAGTGTTGTTAGGATTTAAATTGCATCAGGCACATGAGAATAGACAAGATGATATAAATCGGTTCTCAACAAGTCACAGAAAGGTCAGTTGTTTTCATGTTTCAAGATAAAAATGGGACTCTGACCACGTGAAAAGCCACTTTACAGCTTCCTAATTCTTGTCAATAAAAAAAAACAGCTACAAAGATGAGCCTGATCTAGCAGGAATCCAAGCAAGAACGAAGGATCAGAGCACCCAAAGCATTCCAAAGAGCACAGGGTTCAGAAGAGCTAAGAAAAAGCAAGTGTCCACGAATCTGTGTCTAGGTATATACATGATGTGCTCCTGAGTGACTCACTTTAATTAACATTTCCTGAGCAGCCCATGCTGGTCTACCCTCAAGATGACAGTAGAGAGGTGCTTCTCTTCCTCGTCCCTGCTATCTGCAGCTTTGACAAGAGAACCTAAATGCTGCATAGTAGGCATCTAAGTTTGTCAAGTGGGGTGGCAGCAGCCAGCAAGAAGACTGACTGTGAGAAAAAGCAGATGTGGAAAAAAATCAAAGCAGAAGCAAGGGTGAATGTTTTGTTTTCCTTCCTCCAGATAAGATTCAGGAACCTTCCTGGAGGCTCCAGAATAGAACCACCTTTTAACATATGCCCATGGTGTTAACTCTCTATTTTTATCTGGAAAACTACATATGCCTAACACCCAGTTTTGCTGCCGAGAGGTGACAGTGAAAGGTCTTTGTGGCTCAGGTTGAATGAAATGAACCATCTTTAGTCTGTTACATTCTATTCAATTTTGTAAAGGGAAACGCACTTTGGTTTTGCCTTCCAGTCATGTGTAGTCTGATAATGGAGAGAAGACATGGATACAAATAACTATAAGGAGGAATATAAAAGCGCTATGAATGTAAACATAGTGATGGAAGAACAAAAAGGAAGGACAATGTTTTAGACTGCAAAGTGGGGCAGGGCAGGGTGCAAATGGAATGGTTAGGAGAGGGTGTGAAATGAGCTAGCTGAACGATGAGCAAGATTCTAATTAGCTAAAATTTGAGGTGGAAGGAACAGCAACAGCAAAGGCACTGAGGTAGGAAAGTGTTCAGGGAAGGGTACAGCTGGACCCTAGGGTATGAAGAAACAAGTTATTCAGAAAAGAAGTCAAAAGAAGGTTGGAATTAGATCAAGGAGGGCCTAGATAAAAGGTTTGGTATTCTCTTTAAAAAAGTTTTCTCCTGTAACCAATGAAGAGCCATGTTAAGTCTTTTCAGTAAAAGAAAAGTAAGATGAGAGCTAAGCTACACTCTCCTTTGAGGACAGAATCATACTGGTAAGTTGGCATCTATTTGGTTTGTGGCACTGACCTGGCTGTACGTTCCCTGGTAGAAGACAGGGTGTGCCCTCCCATATTTCTCTTCAAAAGAGTGCATAAATGAAACAATGTCCCCAACAGGGTCAGTGACCCGGCTGCGAGGGTCAGGCCGTATAAAACGAAGAGCAAACCTGGGGAGGAAGGAATAAATATCACATGAATCGGCTTACTGTAGTGCATATGGCATGGGCCAGTTTGTACAGATTTTTATAACAGAGCCAGAGGCATGGCAGCAAACGGAAGTGATCCATGAGTTGGCCATCAAACCTGACAGCAGATTCTAGCTCAAAGGCCACAAAGCTGCCAAGTATTGTTCAAGAAGAATGTAAACTAGTAGGACTATAAATTCTAACACTGGGCTAAACAATTTTATTGCTTTCTGCAGCAAAACAGAGCTAGAAGGATTGGGAAAGGAAGATAATGGTCCTAGACACTATCTAACACAGTAGCCACCACCTACTTGTGGCTATTATAAATGTAAATGCATTACACTAAATACAGTTACAAATTCAGAGCCTCAATAGCTACATGTGGTAACTTCTATACTAAACATCACAAAGAATGTGTTTATTACCAAAAATGTTCTATTGGCCAAACATTGCTTTAGGACAGACACCTCTTTCTGGTTGTTTTACCTGCCTCTCTTTCCCTTCTGTACTCTTGAGATTCTGGATTTTATATATATTTTTTTCCTTTTTGTCTTTTTGAGACAGGGTCTCCTTGTAGCCCCAGCTGTCCTGGAACTCACTATGTAGACCAAGCTGGCCTTGAACTCACAAAGATCCGCCTGCCTCTGCCTCCTGAGTGCTGGGATTAAAGGCTTGCACCACCACACCAGGCCTTAAAAAAATATTTTGTTTATTATTTTTATTTTTTTATATGTATGAGTGTTATGCCTGCATGTAGGTAAGTGCACCCATGTCATGCATTGCCCATGGAGGACAGCAGATGCCGTGGAGTCCCTGGAACTGGATTTACAGTTATTAGCTGCCCTGTGGGTGCTGGGTTTCGAACCCAGGACTGTTCTGCAAGAACAGCCAGTGTTCTTAACTGCTAAGTCATCTCTCCAGCCCCGAGATTCTGGATTTTTAATTCATACCCCCCAAGCTACTCAAATTGTCAATAGGGACTTCAAACTTAAACTTCTAGTCACAATTTACTTGCTCTTCAAAGGGGAAACTAAATTGTGAATGATGTGTTTTCTGTTGATAGCATCTGTGGAGGGAATCATAAAACGGACCCAGTTTGGAGTACTGGCAGCTACACATTACCTAATGGTTGTCCACACTTAAACCTGAAGAGCCACCCTATCATATTTGGATAGCACCCTTTCTTTATGCTTTGGGTTTCCACAGAAGGCAATGGGCAGAGGCTGACATGGCACATTTATTATTAAGTTGCCTGGATGACAGAGCTGTATTAAAATTAGTAAAACATGCCATGCATATTTTCCTAAGGAGAGCAAACAATATTCATTCTGAAGAATTTTCAGCGTAGAAAAAGGTGACCAAACTCTGAGACTTTCCTTACCATATCTTGGACCTCAACAAATTCCCCACATGTATGCAATTTGGAATACTTGGAATTTTTCCTGAGTCATCAAACCAAATTCATTGACATAAACATTCCAAGAAAATTAAAAACATAAAATGTAAGAATGTTGTGTTTATAGGAAAGTAGTTAGAAGTGCTTCAAAAGACTGATACTAGCTGGGTGTGGTGGCACATGCCTTTAGTCCCAGCACTTGGGAGGCAGAGGCAGGAGGATCTCTGTGAGTTCAAGGCCAGCCTGGTCTATACAGTGAGTTCAGGTCAGCTGGGACTACAGGGAGACTCTTCGTCTCAAAAAGACAAAAGAAGAAAAAAAAAAAAAAAAAGACTGATACTTTGACTATTTTCTCTGAAATTAGTTATTTTAAGATAATCTCTTTAAATGCTCAAATTTTAGGAGGGGTAAAGATTAACTCTTGTTTCTCATTATAATGTATTTCCACAGTTAAGACAATGTTAGATATGTCAATTCAGTTTTCATTATGAGTCTGGAAGATTTTAAGAGTTCACATTGCCATTCCTGAATAAAACAGAGATGGAAAATGTGATGGCCATTAAGAACAGTATTAAAGCAAGGATGCCATTATGCAAGAGACCAAGAAGAATGCTATTATTCTGTCCCTGAACTTCTGCAGCTAGCTGCTAGCTAGGTCCTTACTTTCAGCCTTTGCTGCTCAGAGCAGAGAAAAAGCTATCCCATCCCATATTTGGAGAAGTGTGCACATTTTCCTTGCATAGATTCTAATGGCATAACTCTGGCTTGACTTGGAACTCTTTTTTTTTTTTTTTGAGACAGGGTCTTACTATGTAGCCCTGGTTGACCTGGAATTCACTATTTAGATCAGCCTGCCTCTGCCAACACATCTAGTTTTGGCTTGGGATTCTTTATGTAGTCCAAGCAGGCTTCAAATTCAAAATTTTCCTGCCTTACCTTCAATAGGACTATAGGTATATGCTACCATACCTAGCCTCCCATAAACATTTCAGTTCTTCATAAAGTTCAGGAATGGGTCCAGACCATATCCCTTGCTAAGCCTGATTTTCCAGGTCGTCAGGCTTCACTCAACATTTCCTAGCCTTGGATACTGTAGCTTCCAATGATGAAGTTTCTGATTGTACACAAAGAGAGCTAGACAGTGAAGGCATGAAGTAGGTATATAGACACAAAAGTTCCAGTGTCAGCAACCTAAGGGTTGCTATAGTAGAGGGAAATGTACCAAACTGTCTTACAAAAATTACGATTTATGGCAAACTGGGTAACCTCAGAGCAGGAAGATCTATTGGGATTGTGACTAGTGAGGCAGCAAAGTGGTTTAGGGTAAACGTTCCAAGGAATGTGAAGTTAGGAGATAATGGTGGTTAGAAAGGAAAGGGTATGGTGATTAACTAGGGAATGTAGAGGTGACAAACATGGTAGGGGAAGGGAAAGACCAATAAACACAGGCAAATTTGATTCTTGTCTGTTTGGTTGTGAGCCTGAGCCTTTAACGGCTGTGCCAGCTCTCCAGCCCAGGCACAAAAAGCACTAATTTAAAGACATTTTATTTTATAATACCTGCCATATGCAACAATTTAAAACTTGGTTTTTTACTATGGTAAAAGACTGGGCAGGAAGAATATTTAATCGATTAACAAATTGGCAAATCAAAACTGATTCAGCATTAAACTTATTGTGGTCTAACTTTCAGTTCCAAAGACTATTCTGTTGTTAGTAGTATACAAATACAGAGGTACATACCTAAATATGTCAAGTATCGTGTAATAGGTAAACCGGAATGGAAGCATTATCAAATAATAACCCCATCCAAGCAGCCCCTGAAATTTCAAAAACAAAGTTAGAGACCCTATTCCCTCAGTATCTAGTACTTCAAGAAAACCGGCTAGTTGAGATTTTCTTGCTCTACCATCCTGGGATTCCCTACTTTAGAAATACAGTGCCTGTTTCCTGGCATTCTCACCCTGAAATGCTACTGCTTTTGGTATCATTTACTCTAACACTATCATTTTTTTTCACACAATTAAAAAATTATTTTATGTGTATGAGCAGTCTGCCTGCATGTATATGTGTACCACATGCATGCAATACCCACAGAGGCCTGAAGAGGGTATCAGAGTCCCCTGAACTGGAGTCACAGATGGTTGTTAGCCACCATGTGAGTGCTAAGATCTGAACCTGAGACCTCTACAAGAACAACCCGTATTCTTAACTGCTGGGCCATCTCTCCAGTCCCTTTCCCACATAATTTTGGTCTTAAATCTCTAACATTTTCCTGCATAGACATATTTATTTATTTATTGGTCTTTTTGAGACAGGGTCTCCCTGTAGCCCCAGCTGGCTTGGAACTCACTCTGTAGACCAGGCTGGCCTTGAACTCAAAGAGATCTGCCTGCCTCTGCCTCCCAAGTGTCCCATGTCCAGCTAGACAAAGCTACTTATATTTGCTGTCAAATTCAACTTCAAGTTTACCCCTCCACATAAGTATCCATTCTTCCCTTCTTAAACATAAAAAATATAGTACATAGAAATTCCAAGGAAGATAATCATCGTTACCCTTAGACACTTGTATTTCAACAGTAAGTCTACTGCCACAATGACAAATCCTCATAATAGCTACTAATCTTAGTAATAACACTAATATTTTATTGCTGTCATATACATAATGGTTTACAAAACTGTGATTAATATCAAATTGGGTCAACATGAGACACCTGTGATCAGAGTCAGGGCGCACTAGAGCTGCATGGCTGATACTAGGGCCTCAAACACAAAGCAAAGCCCAACACAAGCTGAGCAAACACTGGAACTATAAACTACTCCTTAAGTTATGTACTGCTCTAGGAATCTTCCTCCCTCCCTCCCTCCCTTTCTCTTATTTTTCCCTCCCTCCCTCCCTCCTTCCCTCCCTTCTCCTTTTCCCTTCCTCCCTTTCTCTATTTCTCTCCCTCCCTCCTTTTTCCCTTCCTCCTTCCCTCCCTTTCTCTATTTCCCTCCCTCCCTCCTTCCCTCCCCCTTGCCCTTTTCTTTTCTTTTTCCTTTCCTTTCCTCTTTCCCTTTCCCTCCCCTCCCTTTCCTTTCCTTTCTTTTCTTTTTTCTTTCAAGAAAGAATCTCACTAGGTAGCCCAGGCTAGAATTTCAGCAGTGCTAGAATTTCAGCAGGTATCCAGGCCAGGCAGACTACATACACATCTTGAATACCTACAAACAACTATACCCATGTTTTCTCCCCTTTGTCTGTGGTTTCACTTTCTACATTTTCAGTTATCCTCCATCAACTGAGGTCCAAAATATTAAATTTTTAGAAAATTCTAAAAATAAACAATTCATAAATTTTAAACCACAAATTGTTCTCAATAGTGTGATGAAATCTTGTGCCACACTGCCTAGCCCACTCAGGATGTGAATCATCTCTCTATCTGGTATTCCTTATAGGATACCTGCCCATTATTAGTCTCTTGATAGCCACTTTGGATAGCAGATCTGTCAAGGTATCACTTGTGTTTAAGTAATCCTCATTTTACTTAAAAATGGTTCCAAAGCAGAGATGCTGGCAACTGAGATGCTGAACAGAATCATAAAGTGCTGCCTTTAACTGAAAAGATAAACGTTCTTGACTTTTTTTTAAAAACCCCAAATGAATGAAATTATTAAAAAGGGGGACATTCTAGCTACAAAATAACTTGCCCTTGGTTGTGGTCTTGAGACAACATAGCTGTAGATCCTGTGATCAGCTGTATTAACCTGTAGGGGTCGGGATGGAGGTGGGTTGAAAACACTTGGCACACCCTCTTGCTCATTCAGTCTGTCTTGGACAGCAGCCTGAGAAGGAGAACAGAAGAGCAGGAATTTCAGTGATGCTCAGATCAACTCAAAAGAGGGAACTACTGCTGAATGTCTCAAAACAAGGTGATCACTACCCAAAGGGCTCCCGATGAATATACTCTAAAGGACCTTTATTCCTACTGTACTGAAAGGCAATGAGAATTCACGTACAGCAGAAAAAACCAAGGAACTTGTCTTGACATCACACTTACATAGCAAGTGTACTATTAGTATATATTTCCTAGGATGGCTGAAACATCACTGTACTTTACCATATAATCCCAAGAAAAGTGGCTGACAGAACGCAGTGCCACAGAGCTGTGCAATGGGGCAGTACTTATAGTTAGTAGCTGACAGAACATTTTGGCACAGAGATATGTTAGGTCTGAATCCTAGCTCCACAGCCCAGACAAGTAACTGAACTTATGAGCCTCTCTGAATCCTAGCTCCACAGTCTAGACAAGTAACAACTTCTGAGTCTCAGGTTCCTTGTGTGCAAAAATGAAGTAAACTTAATGGCTAGAATTAATCTAAAAAAAAATATTTTTTTTTTTTTTAGTAAAGCAAACTATATAGATTAAGGGAAAGAAAGAGCTCTTGGGGGTGGGAGGGGTAAGAAGAACACCCTAATCTGAAATTTTGAATATTCAGGGATGAGGATGTAGCTCAGTTGGTAGAGCGCTTATATATACGAGGTCCTGAGTTCAATCCCCAGTACTACATAAACTAGTGCAGTAATTCTGGCACTCAAGAAAGAGGTAGAGGAAGGAGGAGCCAAAGTTCAAGGTCATCCTGAGCTACATAGGGAGCTCCAGTACAGTCTTGACTAGAGACTCTGTCTCAAAACCAGAAACCAAGAAAGAAAATTTGAATATCTGGGTAAAAACTTTCATTCTTCCTAAGCACTTCCTCTGAAAATAATTATCTGTTCCAGTGCTGTGAAAAATTTGGCCTAAGAGATATCTAGCCTTCCCTTTCTCAGTGATCCATCTGATGGGCATACCTCTTTAGTTACTGTAGCTGGAGGTGTCTCATCTAACAGTCTTAGGATAAACGGTGACAATGATAGATCAACCATGTGATTTAGGGTGGTAACTTCAGGTAACTAGGAGATAGAGTTCAATCATCTAGGCAGCCAATCAAATCAATTATGACTGAGTAACGAAGGATAATGCACTCTAATTCTATGATAAGACAGGTATGCAGGTTTCATATTTGGGGAACCATTGAGACCCTGCTCTAAGTCTCTTCTGGTTTTAAACTTTATCAATGTTCTATCATAAACTATAATCAGGAGCCAGGTGTGGTGGCACAAGCCTTTAATCCTAGCACTTGGGGGGCAGAGGCAGGTGGATCTCTGTGAGTTACAGGCCAGCCTGGTTTATATAGCAAGCGCCAGGCCAGCTGGAGCTACAAGGAGACCCTGTCTCAAAAAGACCAAAAAGAAACAAAACAAAACACCCCTATAATTAGGAGTATGTAACAGTTTTCAGTGACTTGCTAGTAAGCTATCAAACCTGAGGGTAGAATTTTCAGCCCTTTGAACTTGCAGTTGGTTATAAAAAGGGTCTTTGAGCCAGGCGTGGTGGCGCACACCTTTAATCCCAGCACTCAGGAGGCAGAGGCAGGCAGATCTCTGTGAGTTCAAGGCCAGCCTGGTCTACATAGTGAGTTCCAGGACAGCTGGGGCCAAAGGGAGACCCTGTCTCAAAAAGACAAAAACAAAACAAAACAAAAGGTCTTTGGGAAGGCCACATTCTAAGTTTGATGGCTGAGTTTAAACTTTAAATTCTACCTAGAATTTGTTAAGACACATTCGGTGAGAAAAAAATAACCTTTCAGGGCTGGTGAGATGGCTCAGCAGGTAAAGGCACTTTCAGCCAAGCCTGACAACCTAAGTTTGATCCCTGGGACTCATATGGTAGGAGGTAAGCACTGACTCCCCCAAGCTTGTCTCTGACCTCCACACACACTCCCTCACAAATAAATAAAATTTAAAAAAGAAAACCTTTCAACAAATGATGCTGAAATAACTGATTAACTATATATAAAAAAAGACTGAAACTTTACTTACTAGACACAGATATAAACTCAAAATATAACAATGCTTAAATGTAAAACACAAAATTGGGAAGCTCTTAAAACAAAGGTTTAAGCCGGGTGTGGTGGCACATGCCTTTAATCCCAACACTCTGGGAGGCAGAAACAGGCAGGCAGATCTCTGTGAGTTAAAGGCTAAGACTGGTCTGCATAGTGAGTTCAGGCCAGCAGGGGCTACAGGGAGACCCTATCTCAAAAAGACCAAAAAAACCCAAAACCAAACAACAAACAAAACAAAACAAAACATGAATATCATTTTAGTTACTGGGAAATACAGATCAAAACCATAAAGAGATTATTTCATTCCCTCTAGGATAATTATAATGTAAATGATAGTAACAACCTCTGATGAGGATACGGAGAATTTTGGGACCTTTATATACTACTGTTGGGGATGTAAAAATGGTACAATCACTTTAAAAAGAGTGGCAGTTCTTCAAAAGGTTAAACACACAGTTACCATATGGTCCACCAAGAAAACATAATCACACAGTACCGTAACATTCGTTGCATCATTACTGACAACAGCCAAAAGTGTAAAAAGCCCAATGTCTATTAACCTATAAACAGATGAAGATCCTGTAGTGCTGTAGTGCGCATGTTTGTGTCCCTGAGAAATTCCTACACCAAAACCTAATACTGGGCTGGGGAGATGGTTCAGTGGATAAGTACTTGCTGTGCAAGTGTGAGGAATTAGGACCGCAACACCCACATAGAAGCGGGGAATGCATGGTGACCTCCCAGTGCTCAAGAGGCAGTGATAGAGGACCATGAAGCAAGCTGGCTAGCTATACTAGCCCAATCAGGAAGTTCTGTGTTTTTGAGAGACCCTGCTCAGTAAATAAAGTAGAGAGTGATTGAGGAAGACACCCAGGTTCTATTCCCAACACCCACATGGAGGCTAACAACCGTCTATAACTCCAGTTCCAGGGGAATCTGACACCCTCTTCTGACTTCAGCAGGCATTGCATGACATAGGTGCACTAATATACATGCAGGCAAATATACTCATACAAATGAAAAATAAATGTTTTTTAAAAAAAGACAAAAAAGAAAGGATGAATGAATGATTGATTATCTTTTGGTTCAGGGGCTCAAATGGAGGACCTAAAACATTAGGTAAAGACTATACCACTAAGCCAGGCGTGGTGGCGCACACCTTTAATCCCAGCACTTGGGAGGCAGAGACAGGTGGATCTCTGTGAGTTCGAGGCCAGCCTGGTCTACATAGTGAGTTCCAGGACAGCTGGGGCTACAGGGAGACCCCGTCTCAAAAAGACCCCAAAAAAAAAAAAAAAAAAAAGACTACTATACCACTGACCAGGTGTGGTGTGCACACTTTTAGTCCCAGGACACTGGAGGCAGAGGTAGAGGTAGAGGCAGGCAGATTTCTGTGAGATCCTGGTTTACATAATGAGTTCCAGGACAGCTGGGACTATAGGGAGACCCTGTCTCAAAAATAAAACAAGACCCCTCTCCAAAAGAACGTATAGTTTGACATTTGAGCTATATATGAATAAACTTATTTGAAAAAAACCACATTGATAGCATTTGTTGAAATTATAAAATTAGGACTTTCGAGCAAAAATTAAAATTTGGAAAACTTGACTATTTTTAGTTCTAAGAAATTGTTAATCTGGCTATGCTGGGGAAGCAATAATGAGAAACAGTGGAAGTGAAGGACTGGAATTTTCTTCATATTTCATCTTAGACTTTCTTCGGCCCTAAAATTATTTTTAGATATAGTATGTACTAAAAGTACAAAGAAAAAAGCTATATACATAAATACAGTACAATCTCATTTGTGTAAGAAATTACATACAAATCTATATAGTCATGTAAATGAATACAGAGTCTACAGGGAGATACATTAAAATTTAAAACTAGTGTCTGGGCATGGTGGCACATGCCTTTAACCCTAGCACTTGAGAGGCAGAGGCAGGCGGATCTCTGTTAGTTCAAGGCCAGCCTGGTCTACATAGTGAGTTCCAGGCCAGTTGGGGCTACAGGGAGACCTTGACCTCCACGGGCAAAAAAAATCTGATAGGCATCAAGTAGTTTAAGAGTAATCATTTTCTTTTTTATGCTTTTTGGAATTCTTTGCCTATGTGATGGCATACACATTGTGTATGGGTATTTTTGCAACAAGCTTGTATTGTTACATTTTATATTAAATGACAGTTAATATTATACTGGATAACTGGAAACCAAAAATAAAGAATGGGTAAATCAAATTGGAATTCTAAGCAAAAATAATGATATTAACAAAAGATATTACAAGAAAATTCTAATAGTTGCATATCTACATGTCAAATAAAACATTGTGATGCTAAGAGCTGGAGAGAGGGTTCAATGGGTAAAAGTATTTACTGTGAAAACTTGAGGACTTGATTCAGATCCTCAGCACCCACATAAAAATCTGTAACCCCAGCTCCGGAGAGGCAGAGAAAGAAGGGTCCCTGGGGTTTGCTGACCAGTCAGGTCCAGCTCAATCAGTGAGTCTGGATTCAATGAGAAATGCTATCTTGCTATCTCAAAACAAAAACAAACAAAAAACCCACATACACATGCATGCTCACCGACTCACTCATGCACAAACCACACCAAAAAAACAAAACAACAACAAAAAACACCTGTTATACTACAGGTAAGAAAGTTCTTCTGGCCGGGTGTGTTAGCACAAGCCTTTAATCCCAGCACTTGGGAGGCAGAGGCAGGCAGATCTCTGTGAGTTCAAGGCCAGCCTGGTCTACATAGTGAGTTCTAGGACAGCTGGAGCTACAGGGAGACCCTGTCTCAAAAAGACCCCCCCCAAAGGTCTTCTGCTAGGTATGGTGGTGCACGCCTTTAATCTCAGTACTTGGGAGGCAGAGACAGGCAGATCTCTATGAGTTCAAAGCCAGCTTGGTCTACATAGTGAGTTCCAGGACAGCTGGGGCTACAGGGAGACCCTATCTCAAAAAAAAAAAAAACAAAAAAAAAACAAACCCAATACGAAACATGGTCTCGAGCAGGACCTTTGACTTATCCTCACACAGATGAAACTGGTAAAAGATTGAAGCCAGGGGCTCCTCCCAAGCCTATGTTAGCCATGAGGAACAGATCCTCAAAAGACCTCAAGAGTCAAAATAAATTGTTTATCCAGTATAATATCCCAAAAGGAAAAGTATAACCAAAGATTAATGGAGTCAATATAATTTTTAAGAGTCCATATGTATAGCTAAAGGCTACATAACAAGAAACAATGCCAGACAGGAGATACCTTCCTTTGAGTAATTGGCCAAGGTGGCACAAGAGACTCCCAGACAGTAACCCGGCATAGAACTGGGTAAATGAACACCAGACCCCAATCTTATCTAAAGGAATATTGACAACTGATTGCTGCTAGATGAGGAACAGCTGATCTTCCTAAAACAAGGATCTTTAGATAGGCTGACTATTCAGCAGACAGACAAGCACTGGAGAATGGCTGGGGTGTCGACAACACAGTGGATAGTAACAGGGATGACAGAGTATATGGTTTCCAGTATGTGGGAGAGGGGAGGCTATGGGAGGGTGCCATTTGGGAAGTGGGTATATAGATGAATAAGATTGTGTGGGATGTTCTGTATGATATACACACAGAAAAATCAACGAATTAAAAAAAGAAGTATTTGAGGAGGAAGCATAAAAATTTAGTTCATGTTAAATAGTAGAGGTGATAAACATTACCAGTGAAATCTACCTGATAACTTTATATGCATGCTCAGATGCAAAGGTTCTCAAAAAGTAACCAACTGTGACTAGTAATAATCAGATATATAGAGATTAGAAACTCATGTGCAAACATCTTTCTTAGTGTCAATTACATAAAAACTGAATTTTTCTGTATGAAACTGTGTATTTTAATAGTGAAATGGAGATCCTTTTTAAAGGTCAAAACCTCATTTAATTTTATATCTTATAGGGTTTATAATGAGTACAATATTGTATAACTGTATTAATTCAACTGTAAACCTAAAAATTTACAGCCAATTTTGAAAGAGATGCATCTTAGCTCTGGAAATTGTTACTGAATATGTCGATGCTATTGTAATGAAATGCTTCTTCTAATTATGTGGTTATTAAATAAATAATTTTTTAAAAAATAAAACAAAAAACCCAAAATTAAAAAAAAAAAAGTTCTTCTTCAGCCAGGTGTTGGGTCCACAGCACTGTGTAATCCCAGCACTGTGGAGGCAAAGCAGGTGGATCCCTGTGAGTTCAAAACCAGCCTGGTCTACATAACAACCTCCAGGTCAGCGGGGGCTATAGGGAGCCTCTGTCTCAAAACAACAACAACAACAACAACAACAACAACAAAAACAACAACAAAACCTATAGCGAATTCCAGGCTAGTCAAGGCTATATAATGAGACACTGTCTCAACCCCCTCCCCCACAAACCAAAAAACCACCAAACAAAAATAAAGTACCTCCTCCAAATACACATAAAGTTTATGAATATATCTTATTTGCATTATGTACTGACTTAACCTAAGAGTATGTACAAAATGTAAGCATTCTCTTTGATTTAGTATTTTTCATTAATATTGGAAAGGTGTATTGATACTGGCATACTAAACAGAGTTACATACAGAAGGAAGTCTGGAAGGACACATATTAAAACATCAAATGCGTTTACTGTTACAAAGTATGATTACTGGCCGGGTGCAGTGGTGCACGCCTTTAGTCTCAGAACTTGGGAGGCAGAGGCAGGCGGATCTTGAGTTCAAGGCCAGCCTGGTCTAGATAGTGAGTTCCAGGACAGTTGGGGCTACAGGGAGACCCTGTCTCAAAAAGACCAAAATAAAAAAAAAAAAAAAAACCCAAAAAAAAAAAAAAAAAAAAAAACCCAAAAAAAAAACAACAACAACAACAAAAAGAAACCCCCCAAAAAACCCCAAAGTATGATTATCAAAATTTTTCTTATATTTTAAAATTTTACAGGCATAGCTTGCTTTTGTAATAGGAAAAAACCCCCAAAGCCCCAAGACATTACTACTGGGGAACAAATCTTTAAAGCTATATAAGTTATATCAAGTAATCTCATCATATAAACAGGAATAAAAAAAGAAATTGCAGATGTAATAATTCTTTATCTCACAAAGAATATAATCACTGGAAAACGCATATTTGTCAACAGTGTTCACAGCTAAGAGAGAAGGAAAAAAGGAGTGCAAGTTAGGACATGCAACAACTTGCAGATAATGCTTCCATCTTATTCATATTTGATTAAAAGAAATTTGAAACTATTACAAACCATTTTGGCTTTAGGAGCTGAAGGATAGGAACACTTATCTTCCTCTCTGCCCCTCTCCTCTCCTTTCTCTCTTTGAGGCAGAGTCTTGCTATGTAGTTCCGGCTTGAACTTGTGATTTTCCTGCCTTAGCCTCCCAAGTGCTGGCAGTACAGATATGTGCTAATATGCCTGGCTTACCTTCCTGACTACCCCCTCCCTGACTCCTGTATATTTATTTTTCCTTCTTTCATTTTTTTGGGGGGGGGTCTTTTTGAGACAGGGTTTCCCTGTAGCCCCAGCTGGCCTAGATTTACTATGGAGACCAGGCTGACCTTGAACTCAGAGATCCACCTGCCTCTATCTCCCTAGTACTGAGGTTAAAGGCGTATGACACCATGCCTGGCTCATATATTTGTTTTTCTGTTTGAAATATTTAATTAAAAATATATTTAAAGCCAGGCATGGTAGCACATGCCTTTAGCCCCAGCACTTGGGAGGCAGAGGTAGGGGGATCTCTATGAATTTGAGGTCAGCCTGGTCTACACAGTGAGCTCCAGGACAGCCAGAATTATATAATGAGACCCTTAACAAAACAATAAATATATGTATAAAATGTTAATAGAAAATTACTAAATCACAAACCCAAACATGAAGTAAAATGAAAGATCAATAGGAAAAGGACAAAGACAACCAAATTATTAGGGCAAAGAAGAAAATAACTTAATTTTCTGTGCATGTGCACACATGCATGTGGCAGCCAGATGACTACTTCAGGTGTCATTCCATAGGCACCTTCCACTTGTGAGAGGATCTCTTGTTACCCAACATTTACTCTTGATATAAACCATTAATATACTGGGGCTGGAGAAATGGCTCAGCAGTTAACATCACTGGTGCTCTTGGAGAGAACAGAGGATTGGTTTCCAGTACCCACATGGAGGCTAACAACCTGTAACTTCACTTCCAGAGGTTCTAATACCCTCTTCTGGACTCTGCCGGCATTGCACACATGTGTTGCACACTTATATACAAATGTAGGCAAAACACTCATACACATTAAATAAACTGTTAATATACTAATTAGAGTGGCTAACAGGTATCAATTGAGAATCTAAAATATGTAAGGTTAGTGTTAAATGTTGGTAATATAGCAATTAACCAAACGAAAACAAAAAAAAAATTCTGTTTTCATGTACCCTTTGTTGTAGTGGATCTACCTCAAAGCAACCAACATCACAAATGATAATAAAGTATCAAAGGCATTATGGTGAGGACAAAGATGTTGCTATTAAGAAGATATAAGGGGAGAGGCACTTCATGAACAGATTTGATCATCATTTGTTCTATGATTCCATGGATTTTCATATTTTCTAGATTTCTACACTTGTATTTTAAAGATAAATGAGTCATGATTCTGAAAACAATATAAGTAACAAAATCCCCTACCTATTGTGGGGGAAAAAAAATCCCTGTGGAAAATGAATGTATCTTATACCTCTATATTCCAGTTATGCTGTTCCAAGGTATGTCGACATTGATCCATAGATTCTATACCAGTCAAATCCTGAAAAGGATAAAAACAAAAAGTTACTAAGAGGCCAAGGATGTAGTTCAATTGGTAACAACGTCTACCTAGTACACATAAAGCCTGGAGGTTCCATCCCCAGCACTGTATAAACCAGGCACATGTGACATATACCTAAAACCAGCACTTGGGAGGTGAAGGTTAAAGGACTAGAAGTTCAAGGCCAAGGTCATTTTTGGTTACATAAGACCCAGTTCAAAAATAAAGTTATGAGCTGGGGAGATAACTCAGTGAAGTGCTTGCACCTTACAAGTAAAAGGACCCAAGTTAAACCACTAGAATCCATGCAAAGTGGAGCATGGTGCACTATGAAGTTCTAAAGTGAACACAACTGGCTTCCTAGGTTTGTTTCTATTTCCTTTCAGGTGTCCGATATCCAGCAAACTTCACAGATCATATACATATCACATGCCGAGAAAATCCTCAGAGCTATAACCCTGAATATTCAGCACAAAAGTCACATCCTTCCATCCGCTCATGCAACTTTCAACAAATGTTTACTATGTGTTCATTCTATGTATTATAGAAAGATAAGGCAGTCTTTACTGTCAAGAAACTCTTGTCACTAGGCATGGTGGCACACACCTTAACCCCAGCCTCAGGAGGCAGAGGCAGACAGATCTCTGTGAGTTCAAGGCCAGCCTGGTCTACCTGGTGAGCTCCAGGTCAGCTGGGGATACAGGGAGACGCTGTCTCAAAAAGCCAAAAAAAAAAAAAAAAAAAAACAAACTCCTGTCAACAACTAGCAACCAGACAGACGGACCAATCTCTACAAGTATTAGGTTAGAATGGAATGACACAATTTCTTAGGCTTAGAATGGTAGAGCACACCTTTAACCCTAGCACTTGGGAGGCAGAGGCCAGCCTGGTCTACACAGTGACTTCTGGGCCAGTTGGGGCTTCAGGGAGACCGTCTCAAAAAAAAAAAAAAAAAAAAAAAAAAAAAAAGACAAGCTGGGCGTGGTGGCGCATGCCTGCAGTCCCAACACTTGGGAGGCAGAGGCAGGTGGATCTCTGTGAGTTCAAGGCCAGCCTGGTCTACATAGTGAGTTTCAGGACAGGTGGGACTACAGGGAGACCCTGTCTCAAAAAGAAAAAAAAAAAAAAAGAATTTTTTGCTTTGATTCTGTACTCCATATATCCATTGACAGGATGTTTTAATGATGGAATTTATTTTCTCTATAAAGTGCAATGCTTAATCTGCATTTAATTTGGACTAGACATCCTTTCCAAAGCTTAACAAACAAAATCCAAAATTGGTTTGTTTTTCGTCTTTATTTAAAAATTTTTTAAATTTATTTTTATGCGTATGAGCGTTTTGCCTGCATGCATAAGTGCACCTGTATCATGCAAACCCTGTGGTGGACAGAGAGGGCATCAGATCCCCTGGAAATGGAGTTACAGATATTTGTTAGCTGCCATGTGGCTGCAAGAGCAGCCAGTGCTCTTAACTGTTGAGCCATTTCTTCAGCCCCCTTGACCATTTTTATTTACTTATTTATTTATAAGTCTTTTTTTTTTTTTTTTTGGGACAGGATCTCCCTTTACCCCCACCTGTTTTGGAACTCCCTTTGTAGACTAGGCTGGCCTTGAACTCACAGAGATCCACCTGCCTCTGCCTCCCAAGTGCTGGGATTAAAGGCATGTGCCACCATGCCCAGCTTTATTGTTTGAGACAGGGCCTCTTAGTGAACCTGACGCTCACTCATTCAGTTAGGCTGGCTGGCCAATGAGAATCAGGGAACTGTTAAGAGCGCAGGAGTGTGCTTTTATGTCTCTACCCCTCCCCACTCAGTGCTAGGGTTACAGGAGTGTGCCACTACCCCAGCTTTTAATGTGGGTTCTCAGTATCCAAACTCAGATCTTCCTGCTTGTGCGGCAGGCACTTTACCAAGTGAGTTCCTTCTCAACTACCAATAAAAACGTTTAAGTATTGGGGGCTGGAGAGATGGCTCAGCAGTTAAGAGCACTGACTACTCTAGCAGAGGACCAGGTTAGATTCCTAGCACCTGCATGGTGGCCAACAACCACCCATAATTCCAATTCCAGAGGATTTGACACCTCTGCCTTCCTCGGGCTTTGCACAACATGGGTGCACTTACACACATACAGGCAATACACTCATATACATAAAAACAAGAATATTTAAAAAAATGTTTAAACAAAGTACTATAAACATTTCACTGGCATGGAGGTTTATGGCCATAATCCCAGCACTCTGGAGGCTGAAAGATGTGGAGCTCAAGTCTTCAGACAGTCTGGACTATACAGTGAAAGCCTGTCTTAAAAACAGAACAAACAGGTATGCGCTCCTCAGTGAGGACCAGGTAGTCTTTTGTGAAGCGGCAGCTGAGGAGGCTCCGGTGCTCGCCATGGCTGACGAGAAACCCAAAGAAGGAGTCAAGACTGAGAACAACGACCATATTAATTTGAAGGTGGCGGGGCAGGATGGTTCTGTGGTGCAGTTTAAGATTAAGAAGCAAACACCACTTAGTAAACTAATGAAAGCCTATTATGAATAACAGGGTTTGTCAATGAGGCAGATCAGATTCTGATTTGATGGGCAGCCAATCAATGAAACAGACATGCCTGCACAGTTGGAAATGGAGGACGAAGATACAATTGATGTGTTCCCGCAGCAGACAGGTGGTGTCTACTAAAAGGGAACCTACTACTTTATTCCAGAATTTTGTTATAGACCAAGAATACATTCTCAATTAGAAAGCCACAATTTGGTTCCACCACATCCTTACTACTACAGTATAGTTTTCTCTATTCTTTCATTTCCCTGTCCCCATTCCTTCCAGTACATAAAAGTAACTGGTGTATGTGCACAAGCACATTGTACTTTGTTCTTTTTGATCTAAATGGCCGGTGTTCTGTTTTGGTTGACATCAGATGGAGATGATGTGGGAACACACTGGTTCTGTGAAAACCTCCCCTTCTCCATTAATGGCATGCTCCATCAGCTCTTACCTTTATGTTCCAGTAAGTTATTTTGCTCTCACTGTTTTAACAAAAAAACAACACAAAAATCCTTGCATATCTTGTTTAATTGGAGAATTTTAATGTTTTTCATTTTATAACTTTTTTGTACATAGCTGTTACATGTTGGGCAATCTGTCTTTAAGTAGGGATAAATTACTCTTGAAAGAAAATGAATCCTAGATAGTTTTCCCTTCTAGCCAAGCATCTTGTTGTTTAAATAAACTTGTTTAAAATGGAAAAAAAAAAACCACAAAAAACAAAGAACATTGAGGAGAAATGGGAGATGGGAGAAAGGAAGGGAAGGAAAGAGAGAGAGTGAGCGAGCGAGAGAGAGAGAGAAACACTGAAACTAAGAACCTGTTACAAGCTAGAGATTTAAGACCCAATGGCTTTGATAACTCTGAGAATCCTGATTTTTAGTTGTCAACCACTCCAGGCTTCTTTCAATTTTAGTGATTGTCTGTTAGTTTGTAAGAAGTCTCCATTAGCTTCTAATTTTCTATATTATAGCCCATAAATAACAGGGATGTCTAAGATTTCCCCTCACTGTGAATTCTCTTTAAAAATTACACTATAATCTTACCTTCCAAAGTTGTAAATGACCACTTCTTTAAACATCAAAATTGCTTTTTTCCCCTGCTATCTTTTTGAGACAGGATCTCCCTGTAGTCCCAGCTGGCCTGGAACTATGTAGACCAGGCTGGCCTCAAACTCACAGAGATCCACCTGCCTCAGCCTCCCAAGTGCTGGGATGAAAGGTGTGTGCTACCATGCCCGGCAAACATCAAAATTGCTTTTTTATCTTCTGATTATTTATATTCTTTATATTAATCTTACTGCCTTCTAGAGGTTTCTTTTTCTTTCCTTTTCTTTTCTTTTTGGTCTTTTTGAGACAGAGCCCCCAGCTGGCCTGGACCCTTCTATGTAGACTAGGCTGGCCTTTATCCTGGAGAGATTAGCTTGCCTCTGCCTCTGCTGGGATTAAAGGCAGTACCACTATCCCTGGCTGGGTACAGGTTTCTTCAGGACTTACTATCTTTGATTCACCTCTACTACTCACTGCCACTTAGTAAGGGCTTAAGCAGCTAAAGAAAAAATTAGTTCAAGTTCAAAATATCTTTTCGGAGCTCAGTATAATGACACAAATCAGTAATCTCAGCATTCAGAAGGTGGAAGCAGGAAAATCAGAAATTCAAAGCCAGCCATGGTTACAAAGTGAGTTCAAAGGTTGACCCTGTTTCAAAAACAAATGGAGAGATGGCTCAGTGGTTAAAAATGCTGGCTGCTTATGCTTATGTAACTCAGTTCCATGGGATCTGATCTCTCTCTGACTTCCACGGGCATTGCATGACATGGGTACACTTATGTACACAGGCAAAACACTCATACACATACAATAAAAATAAAATTAAAAACAAACAGCTCTCTTTGTGCAAGCTTCAATAATTACAGCGGATAGGCTAAAAGATCATCATCATAAAACTTCACGTACATAAATACAATGAGTTATTTTGCTTTGTTTTATGATGTTTATGATGTTGTTTTATGATGCTCAACCATTGTGCTAACACTCCAGGTCCCACTGGAGCTTTGAAATTCTCAATATTCTGATTAGATTTCAAGGTGGTTGTCAAAAATACCAAAATAAATAAACATTTAAAAAATTTGAATGATTGGGGATGTAGCTCAATGGTAGAATACTTGCTTAGTATCTGAAAGGCCTCAGTTCAATCCTCAGCACCAGTAAAAACATTGTACCTTCCTATACAGGGAAAGAGCCCAGGAAACAATGTGTCTTGTTGCTGTCAATGTTTTTAAATTCCTTAGCTAGTGTCAACAAGGTATCTCAGTGCTTGCCAACTCATTTGTTCATAAGACAAACCAGGTATCCATTCTTCAGACTTTAAGTCTCTTATTAAAATATTAAAGGGAAAAGTAGTTACCTTCAATATAATGAAACACAACACATTTGCAAATAAAATTATTTTGTA